TGTGTGTGTGTGTGTGTGTGTATGTGTGTGTGTGTGTGTGTGTGTGTATGTGTGTGTGTGTGTGTGTTTGTGTATGTGTGTGTGTGTTTGTGTATGTGTGTGTCTGCCCCAAAGCCACAGTGAGCTGCCATCTTGTCCTTGTCTCCAGGCTCACCATGACATGATCAGTGTTTGGAAGATGGATGGATGAATGGATGGATGGATTAACCCTCGCCATCCTGAAAGTAATCGCATGTGGCGTGTGTGTCTCTGTACAGATGGGCCGGACGGAGACAGCTGTGAACAACCTGAACCCAGTCTTCGGAGAGAAGTTCCAGGTGGACTATCACTTCGAGGAGGTCCAAAAGCTCAAGTTTGCCTTGTTTGACGAGGACAAGTGTAGCAGCCAGCTGTACGAACACGACTTCCTGGGGGAGTTTACCTGCACGCTCGGGATGGTGAGGCCTGGCTTACTGACATATTTCCTGGTCATCTTTGTCTGTCTAAGTTTCCCTTTCATCTCACTTGTCCTCGAACGTCTTATCCGTTCCCCACCTCTCACCAGATTGTTTCTGGCAAGAAGCTGCAGCGGCCGCTGATTCTGGCCAATGGGAAGCCGGCAGGTAAAGGCACCATCACGGTGAGTAGACCGCCGGCTTTCACACGCACACAGACGCACGCTAACAAACAAAACAACTGACAGCTCCTCTATGATAACCCCTGTTACAGTTTGAAGCAGGAATCAATGTGTATAACAACAGGTTTCTTATTTGCATGTATTTCCAAAGATTACAGGGCTTTGAGTGGCTTAGAATTCCAAATATCTTCTATGCATAGGAGCTTCCACAATGAATCCTTTGTCACATGGAGGGAGTGAATAGGCCTGGGATTCGTTCCTCAACACAGGGTTGCATGCAGCCTGTCTGGTGCCTCTGAGTTACTGGATCTGAAAGATGTCAGTCATATTACTGCTCCAATCAGCACCCTTGTACATGGAGTCAGCTGATTTGCAGTGTGAAAAGGCTGGATTTAGGTTGGGGGAAGGCAGTAGGATTGTGTGGACCGCCCGAAAGTAGGCTGTAGTGTTCAATTGAGTGCAGACCCTTAACCAATCACAGGGGTGATTCTAGGATTTTTGTTTAAGGTGGGGGCAGAAGAGGAGCCAGAATTCATACAGAGGGGGGCAGTCTTATCATTGGCCAATGATATGGGGAGGGGCCACTCTGGGGGCCAACTAGCTTTCAGGTGGGACCAGTGCCCCACCCCTGTGTATTTTCCTGATTGGTCGTGAACTGCAAACAGGGATGTTACTGGCAATTAAAACAATAAGAAAGTACAAATTATGAGTGTCGTTGCATGTTGTTTTTCACAAAATGATACAAATAATTTTCAGTACACAAAATTCTTGAAACAGGAGCATGCGTTTGGTCTCAAGGGTCTATTTCTGTCCGCTGCACAGATAACAGCTCAGGAGTTGTCAGACAACAGGATAATTACGCTGAGTTTTTGTGGGAGGAAACTGGACAAGAAGGTGAGAGGCTTTTCTCTTAAAAGGAAGAGTCAAAATAGATATTGCTTTCTTAATTCCAGCTTTATTTTTGCTTCATAAAAGGCATCTAGGAAAGAGGAAAGTATCTGCAAGGGTGAAAGTGGATTGTGTTAGTTTATATAACATGACAACTGTTGCGTTCTTATATATTTCTGTCCCCCTCAGGATTTCTTTGGTAAATCGGATCCTTATTTAGAGTTCCACAAGCAGGGGGAGGACGGCAAGTGGATGATGGTGCACCGGACAGAGGTGGGTGGCAAGACGGTGCAGCATTAAAGGGTCTCTGTGTCTCCCGCAGTGGCTGCGTTAGTTAGCATCATCAGCCATCTTTCAAGTGCTAATCAAGTACAGGGTTGCCAGACTGTGTCAGTCGTGTAAAGGAAAATTTCATTGGCTCAAAGCCACTAAACCACTTTCTTTGATGGCTGTTGGCAGACAGTGTTTAAAGAGGGATAATGTTGACCTTAAAACAACACAGATGGTTTAAATGAATTTGAATCATTTTCATTAACAACCCATCGCATTTCAATCACCACCTTTGGAATGCGAGCAGTGACGATCTGCGGCCTGTCACAGGCCCCGTTTTGGTTACAGCACAGCCGGGACACCCACCACACAGACGTACATTCCCTTACACACGCTCACTGGGCACCTCCTTAGATGTGGAAATAAAATGCACTGAGCTGGGGCCAGAATTCACACATTTCTTTGAGTCGGCGGCACCGTACCATACTCGTGTAATCATATTCATGTTATTAACATGTTTTTTTTCCATCTCTGAACAGTAACAGATGTGTTGCGAACTTAGCCGTAGGAAATCGTGTTAAATTAAATCTAGTTTTAAATGTTAATTTATCTGATTATAGCAATTAATCGTCAACCCATATTTTCAGCTAAAACACCCACATATATTTACATGTTAATATAGTTTGCATATTAATTCACATTTACATTTATCTAGCAGATACTTCTGTCCAAAGCGATGTACAAGTGAGGCAAAAGCACATTACAAACATACGGCCGTCAAGGAGTCAGGAAGGCATAAGTGGAGTTGGGCTGAGTTTCCAGTGAATGCCCAGTAACAAGTGTAAGTAGTATTAGAGCAAAAGCCACACAAAGCATTTCAGACATAGCAAGATCCTAGTGGGACTATTCATTCAACAGACAAATTGCAGCACCAAGGACATTCAGGATATATAGGAGAACAACAAGGGAACATAGAGAGCTAAAGGCTAGTGCAGATGCTCAGGAATCAGATGAGTCATTAGGCATTTCTTGAAGGTTGAAAGAGAATATGATGGCTAAATGTGGTTTGGAAGCTCATTACACCATCGGGGAACCACACGTGAGAAAAATGGATTTTGACCTTCTCACATGGTGGAGAAATCTCAAAGCAGTGTTGGTTTGCTGAACGAAGAGGGTCGTGGGTATGACGGGTTGTAGGTCTTGAGGAACATCTTTATGGTGATGAGTGCCAGGGATCTGAAAGCTAGTTCCAAGGATCAGCACTTGGTGCAGAAAGACAAGGAAGGGTGTAACGAGAGAACATTTAGGCTGATTGGATTCCAGATGTGCTGCCACACTTTGAATCACCTGGAGTGATTTGACAACACAGACTGGCAAACCTGTTAGCAAAGAGTTGCAATATTATAGTGATGAGAAAACACGTGTGTGGACTAGAAGCTATACTGCATGTACAAACAAATACGGCCTGATCATTTTGATGTTATACAGGGTGATTCTGCGATACTCAGAGACAGCTGTTATGCGGTCAGCAAAGGAGAGCTGGTTGTCCATCATTATCCCTAGCTTCCTGGCAGACGTTGATGGAGACAATGTCAATTATCCAATCTGTACGGCCAGTGCTGACCCAACCATCTTGGGGGCCCTAAACAAAATTTCAATTGCAACCCCTTGCCAGGGGCGGATTAAATGTGCTGGCAGTGGGTTGCTGACGATTAAATTTGCTGAGCGGGGAAGGGGATCGATTGTCCCATTTTCCCCAGATTTTGCTGGGGTCTTCAGCAGTCACTTAGTTTGCTCGTGTCTTGGGATGGTTCTGTGTACAGTAATGTCATGCTGGATTGTAGGGCTAGTATGAAATACAAGATTAAGCTGGGGTTGATGATCCCTCTTCCAGACTGCAACGTCCTCAAGGCACGCAGAGATCGTGTTGTCGTCGGGAGGGTAGTTTAGGTAGAGTTGGATGTCACATAGCAAGGTAGTGTTAGGAGAAGTCATGTGACTAAATGATCAGCCATAGAGAGGTGATGTATAGAGAGAACAGGAGGTGACCAAGGACTGCACCTTGAGGGACATCCATTATTACCTTATATGACGTGGACTCCAAGGCTCTTGGAAAGATTTCCCTGACAGGCAAGAGTCTAAATGCTTCAGAACAGTCCCTTTGAGGCCAAGTCGAGATGCTTGCTGGGAGTATTTAGTGTTGAAGGCTGTAGAAAGATCTATCAGGAAAAGGACAGCTCTGAAACCAGGCTGGAGAGGGTCCAGGAGGTTGGTCTGTGTGAAACAGATCTATCAGTCTATCTGTCTGTCCATCCATCCATCCATCCATCCATCCATCCATCTCCTACTCTGTAGCATTTTAAATTTTCAGGTTCCTTTCTACAGTTTTCACATTTCTTTACATGGATTATTCTTCTGGGTTTTCTGAACCATGTTCCTTCACAGGCGCTAGACGCAGCTGCCCTGAATAGGAATGGTTCTGTTATGCTGGTGGGTTCTTTAAGCACGTTCTCACGGTCATGGCTGGGGTTTCAACTGCGGCTGCAGTCATTAAATGACCCCGTTTTCTCCGCGGCAAAATGTGGCAGAGAGGTTCAGACAGAACGGCCTGTTATTTATTCATGTCATGCGTGTGATTACCCTTATGGGAACAGAGTCTACCTGCCATTCTCATCTGTGGTTAGCATATCATCTTTGGTTCTGTGCTGGGCACCTGGGTGCCATGCTGTATGATATAGAGAGATATCTGAGCAGTGAAATGGGATTTTCTTGGGAGTTAAGTCAATGCAAGTTTCCCCAAACCTCAAAAACAACGGGCAATGTGGTCACATGCTAAGAGAGGGAAGAGAATGACGTAAACCTCGAACCCAGGACATTTATGTTCAAAACACCGTTTAGTGCAGTTTCCACTCTTGCACAGTGTTCCCTGTTTGTTTACCTCTGTGGATCTACCTGTGCTCCTTCCGGTTTCAGGTAATCAAAAACACTTTGGATCCAGTCTGGAAGTCCTTCACTATGCCCCTCATCTCGCTCTGCAATGGGGATGTAGATAGGAGCATCAAGGTAGGTGCAGCTGTGCGACATGGGCTGGTTCTGAAACCTGGGAGGGAGAAATTGCACGGACTCTGAAGCTGCATTTCGTGGTGTAATCGAGTGTGAAGTTTCCGCAATTATAAACTTAAGGGGTGTTTGTCTCCTGGCACCTTCCAGAGCCAGGTGGTTACACCGTAGAACACAGGGGCCTTTGTCTGACTCACAGAAGACTGTGAGGTTCAGGCCCAAGCCTGAGCTTCCCTGCTGCACTGTGGGAATGTAATCGCATGCTGTGTTTGTGATCTTCATCTCCTGGGGAGTTTACACAATAAAGCCGGAGAAGGTTCTGAAAATACAAAAAAAATATTGGCGTAAAGAAATAAGATCATAATGTGGGAATAAATTGATAAAATGTTGGCTTAATATTTAATCAGCGTACTGAGAACAGAGCAGCCCTGGGACTTTGCAGGCTTGTCTTCCTCCTTCTCTTGAGATGACTGTTCTGCTAATGTTTAGCTGTTGGAAAGATTTTGAATTTTTTTTTGACCTGATGAAGTCCAGTCTCTTTTTTTTTTTCCTCACACATTCTCCCTCTACCTCCTCCTTTTGCAGGTTGTGTGCTATGACTATGATAATGACGGAGGACATGACTTTATTGGAGAATTTTACACCACTGTCAGTAAAATGAGCGAAGCCCAGAATTCACAAGAGGTAGGAGGGGACTTTTTTGGGTGGGGGGGGGGGGGGGGTTCCTTGGTAAAACGCGTATACTGGCACTCAATGGCCACTTTATTAGGTACCCCTACATAGTACCTTGTGTGCAGAAGATGAGTTGCATGTTCAGTGATGCTTTTTTGCACACGACTGTTGTTCTGAGCTGTTATTTTTGCACCAGTGTCCTTCCTGTTAGCTTTAACGAGTCTGGCCATTCTCCTCTGACTGCACTCATTAGCGAGGTGTTTTCAGCCACAGAACTGCCAGCGACAGTGTGCTTTTTGTTTATTGCACCCTTCTCTGAAATCCCAGGAGGGTGACTGTTTCTGAGATGCAGGATCCATGTCTGGCACCAACAATTATACCACGTTTAAAATCACTTAGATCGTGCATCTCAGCCATTCTACTGCTTACTCAAACAGTAATTGGATCTCCTGCCCCTGTCTGTATGCCGTATGTATTCAAATGCAGTCACATGATTCTCTGTTTTCATGAGCAAGCTGTTTGCATTAATGAGCAGGTGTACCTAACAGAATGGCCATTCAAAATGCTGCAATATATATGCACACCATTCAATTGCAAATTTGTACTTAATTACCTGGGTATAATAATATAGTTTTTAAGAGTTCATCATATGCTAATATACTAAGGTATGCGGGGATCTCAAGTCTCACGCATGGACCGTTGCCACGCTCACACGCCGCACCTTGTGCGTTTCACGCTGGGATGTAAGGGGCAGCGCTCACCAAGGGGGACGAGGCGCAGGCGTACGGAGCGGAGTTCTCCGCCGAGTTCATTGCCGTGCCGATCGAGTTGGACAGAGTTATCAGATTTATTACTTGTGATCCCGCTGCAAGTACATTATCACATGGATGCGCGCACACATGGGGTGCAGACAGAGTGGGAGCGACAGAGCAAGACCCGAGGAATGCGGTAGGCAGGGGTCTGAAGTGTCACGCTTTGGCCGTGAGACACACGCTCCGCCCCTAACAAACATGGTCTCACTCCAAACTTTTTTTCAGACTTGAGAGCCCTGGTTTGTATATTGTTGGACATTAGACATTTTGTGTGGTAGTTACTGTGTCTCCATCCTATTGATTAAGGATTACTGTGGAGTTTTAGGGCTTGAAGCCTTGCTCACAAGAACATATTGCTAGGAAGGTGTGTCCTGGGGTTTTAGTTTAGCGGCGTGTGTTTGAAAGTTTGCTGTACGCGTCGTCTTGCTAAGAGTCACGCCTGACTGCGGGGAAATGGGTCTGTATCGGCCAGTGCCTAAGCGTACTGCCCTGCAGAGGATAATGGGGGCGACGACAGCAGCGAGAACATGGGGTCCCGGGCTGAAGCAGAACGGGCCATTTTCTGCTGGATTCGCATGTACATCGAGTCTCATGACCCTTGGCTGCACTACTGTTCACCAAAGCCCTAAAAGCTGAGCTCAGCACAATGCCGCCACCTTTAAGACAGAATAACTTTTCTGCTAATACCATTATTTCTTTCCTCAACCAGGGTATGTGGATACATATATAAGCTTTAGTAGCATCTCCCAGATATAAAAAGCACGTTCACAGCAGAAATAGATGTGCTTCCTAGGTCAGGAGCCAGTAGCCAGCAGTCTTGTGCTCTCTATAGTGAGCTCCCAGGTGTGCATGCGATTCCAATAAGAAGTCAGGACATCTCCCCCGGCGGTGGGATCCAAATCCCACTTCTGACAGGACGTTTAAATCAAATAAGACATTAGGGATGGCGCTCAAAGGACCAGTGGATTGCTTTAACATTTCCATAATTGTAGTGTACACTCACCTAAAGGATTATTAGGAACACCATACTAATACGGTGTTTGACCCCCTTTCACCTTCAGAACTGCCTTAATTCTACATGGCATTGATTCAACAAGGTGGTGAAAACATTCTTTAGAAATGTTGGCCCATATTGATAGGATAGCATCTTGCAGTTGATGGAGATTTGTGGGATGCACATCCAGGGCACGAAGCTCCCGTTCCACCACATCCCAAAGATGCTCTATTGGGTTGAGATCTGGTGACTGTGAGGGCCATTTTAGTACAGTGAACTCATTGTCATGTTCAAGAAACCAATTTGAAATGATTCGAGCTTTGTGGCATGGTGCATTATCCTGCTGGAAGTAGCCATCAGAGGATGGGTACATGGTGGTCATAAAGGGATGGACATGGTCAGAAACAATGCTCAGGTAGGCCGTGGCATTTAAACGATGGCCAATTGGCACTAAGGGGCCTAAAGTGTGCCAAGAAAACATCCCCCACACCATTACACCACCACCACCAGCCTGCACAGTGGTAACAAGGCATGATGGATCCATGTTCTCATTCTGTTTACGCCAAATTCTGATTCTACCATTTGAATGTCTCAACAGAAATTGAGACTCATCAGACCAGGCAACATTTTTCCAGTCTTCAACTGTCCAATTTTGGTGAGCTTGTGCAAATTGTAGCCTCTTTTTCCTATTTGTAGTGGAGATGAGTGGTACCCGGTGGGGTCTTCTGCTGTTGTAGCCCATCCGCCTCAAGGTTGTGCGTGTTGTGGCTTCACAAATGCTTTGCTGCATACCTCGGTTGTAACGAGTGGTTATTTCAGTCAAAGTTGCTGTTCTATCAGCTTGAATCAGTCGGCCTATTCTCCTCTGACCTCTAGCATCAACAAGGCATTTTTGCCCACAGACTGCCGCATACTGGATGTTTTTCCCTTTGCACACCATTCTTTGTAAACCCTAGAAATGGTTGTGCGTGAAAATCCCAGTAACTGAGCAGATTGTGAAATACTCAGACCGGCTCCTCTGGCACCAACAACCATGCCACGCTCAAAATTGCTTAAATCACCTTTCTTTCCCATTCTGACATTCAGTTTGGAGTTCAGGAGATTGTCTTGACCAGGACCACACCCCTAAATGCATTGAAGCAACTGCCATGTGATTGGTTGATTAGATAATTGCATTAATGAGAAATTGAACAGGTGTTCCTAATAATCCTTTAGGTGAGTGTATTATAATGCTTGAATTAGCAGCTGTTTTCTTTGAAGAAAGACCACTCTGTTTAATGGAGACTTGTAAGACAGACTTTCAGTAAGAATTCATTGAAAGCTTGGCACAGAGCTAATGACTGGAGAAATGAGGCTTCAAGACCAGTGGGTGGGAGAATGACGTGCTGCTAGTCACTGATTGGATGAGGCCACTTTCTATTGATCACATTATTTGTTCTCATTGGCTGAAAGCCAGCAATGATTGACAGCACACAGAAATGCCTCCCACTGGTGGCTCATCCAGTCGCCGCATGAAACTACAACGTGGGGGACGGCTTGCCGTCTGTTTAGACCTGTCATCTTCGTGTCGAGTTACAAACGCTAAAATACTGTATTTTCCAGTGGTGCCAGTTTGTTGCTCCAGTTGAATTTAGCTGCTTTAAAGACAAAGGCGACAAACATTATGTAACATTCCAATGAATCAGTGCTCCTCTTTCTTCATGTCTGAATGCATTTGTCTTAGAGTGCATTGGGAGTGGAGCTGCGATGCTTCGCTATTGTGCCAATCTAGGCAGGTTGAACACACACAGCTATTACACACAGGATATGTGTACTAGTAGCCGGTGGCATAATGGTTGCAGGAACTGAATTTATGGCCTGATGGTTGTTGGTTCAAACCCATTGCATCCATGCATTTATATAACTAAAACTGGTGAATATATTGCATCATATAACTGCATTGGTTTTTAAGATAGAGTTAAGTCACATTTGTTCAGCAACATAATATTGATAATGATGATGATGTCATTGCAGGTAGAGTTTGAATGCATAAATCCAAAGAAACAGAAGAAGAAGAAGAGTTACAAAAATTCTGGGATCATCATTCTGAAGTCGTGCACGGTAAGTGCCGAGTATCTGCATTAAGCCAGCATGACCTCTCTGTTCATTAAGGGCAAATCAGATCTGCCGTTCATACATTAAAAAGTACCACACTTTTAATTTCATTAATGTGTAACTACTGATAGCGGTGAATTCTTCTGTCATGGGTTAAATTACCATGTTTAATGGATCGATGTACTCAGGTCAACATTGACATCACAGTCTCCTGGGTCGTAAATACTCTCAAAAATGGATTATGAACATTTAGGAGTCGTATGGTTTTGTACGGTCGCACCTTGGGTCTTTGTACCTCAGCTGTCTTTGTGCAATAATCGACATTGACATCACCCTGGGTTTTAAAGGCTTGGTGGCTGATTACAGGCTCCCCTAATTAGATTGTGTTTTTTGGTTAAACCATGGATGTATGATAATGAATCACATCAAACCACGGTGTGTTTTTTGGTGTTTCATGTTGCGTTTCTTATCAGTCAGCGAGACAGAATGGGTTTGATGAGCATGTGTAGCATGAGATGGGGTGGCATGTGACCAAGTAACAATGTTTACTGAAGTAGAATGTTCTGGAGAATAACATATAAGGTGTTTTCTTCAGATTGCGAGAGATTACTCTTTCCTGGACTACATCCTGGGAGGATGCCAGCTCATGTTCACTGTGAGTATTGGGGTTGTGCTTTTCGCTCATTTCACGCACACCCCCCCCCCCACTCCCTTGTGACTCCATCACACTCCACTGATGACGTCACCAAGACAGGAGGTAGTGATTTGCGTCCTGGAGTTGTGACCTAAGGGTTCTGGTTCAAATCCCAAAAGTGCTTTTGCCGTAATGCTCTCGAACAAGATCTTAAGCTGAAATAGGTCCGATAAAATGTACAGCTGGATATAAGATTCTTTTGGATGAAACTGTCAGCTAAGAACCTAGAAACTAAAAATAGCGTGTAATATAACAGCACCCCAGCCCCGTAATGCTCCCGATCCCACACGCCTTCCACAGACCCCCCCCAGTGCCAAGAGCCTCCCAGACCCAATAGATGGCCTGGTTCATGACAGGGGTGCTTGGGGTGGGTGGGTGGGGGGGGGGGTTAATATCAGCGCATCAGGTGGCTATGCCCTGCCCCACCCCCCACCCCTCGGCAGCTTGTAAAACCAAGACTGTGAGCTTCCTGTAAAAGCTGTTGTTTTCATTTACAGAGCTGTTGTTAGCATTTACAGAGCTGTTGTTAGCATTTAGCATTACATTTACTCGGTGCTCGTCTTTTTTGACAAAGGTTTTTTTTTTTTCCTGTCTCCAATATGAACAGGTTCTATATTTAACTCTGACATTTCATTCTTACGTGATTGTCAGGAAGATGTGGGGAGAGAGGGAATGTTGTGTTGCCATAGTAACCGTGACCTGTGAAGAAGCGGTCCGTACATCGGAGGATTGGGGGGGGGGGTTGCGAGTACACACAAGAAAGAAAATAACATCAGGCGCTGTGCGCGAGAGATTACATAGGAGCAGGCGAGAAAGGCATGGCGATCGGAGGACCCTCGCCAGATAATGGGAGGGCATGGTATGGGAGTTCATATGGACGCATGACCTAATGGGTCTGTGTGAGAGGATATATAGACACTTAACATGGGCGTGTGGGAGGATATCTGGAGAGCGAGTGATAGACAGACACAAATCCAATAATCAGGTGAGCCTGAACTTAAACCCACTGACCAGTAGGATGGGAGATGCATTAACCCACGTAGGATGTCTGTGGAAAAATGCAAGCAAAACATTTCACTGCTAAAACGTCCTTTGCCTCCTTAGTGCTCTGGCTCTCTGGTTATTGAAATATGCAGAATGGAATGAATTTGAGGCTGTGATATCAACTTTTGAGAACTTTCGAGCATATTGCACATGTTCTGCTCTGTAAAGCTTCCTCTTTATATGGTCACCCCCCCCCCCGCCTGCCATTATACCCTTGAGTTGGTAATTTACCTAAATGATTCCAGCAGAATGTCCCGCTGTATGAATGGGTGGAAATCAAATGCTCACAAAAGAAAAGAACCTACATTAGCATAAAAGCATGATCCACAAGCAGAGCAGGAAATCCAAGAAAGTTCACGCATATGATAATAATAATAATAAAACTGTCATATGGTGTCTTTATTAATAATCCCAGCATCTGTAGCCACACCCACCTGGGTCTGGTTGTCTCTAAGTCTGTGAGCATGTAGCATGTGTATTTTTGTTTGACTTTTTGTGCATGTTTGTGTTTTTGTTTTTTTATGTCAATCTGAATGTTTATTCTGTGTTAGACTACCTGGTTAGAACGCGTGTGTGTTATTGTACACAGATGTGTGTGTCTCTTTGTTTGCATGCTTGTATTTCACTTCCTGTGGCGAGAGTGCATGTCTTTGTATGGATGACTAGTGCACGCGTCCGCACGTGTAGCCCTTCTCCCCTGTGAACCTCGCCTCTCACCATTCAGGTGGGCATCGATTTCACGGCCTCCAACGGGAACCCCTGCGAGCCCATCTCCCTGCACTACATCAACCCGATGGGCAGCAACGAGTACCTGTCGGCCATCTGGGCCGTGGGCCAGATCATCCAGGATTATGACACGTGAGTGTCCGGCGGCACACACGCAGAGAAGCAAGCCAGCTGAAATCTGATTGGCCCCTAGGGTAGCGCTAGTTCAGCGCCCGGGGAGCAGTGCTTGGGGACGGTACCTTGCTCAGGGTACCTCAGTGGTGACTTGCTGATGGGGGATTCGAACCTGCAATCTTTCAATTACAAGTGCGCTACCCTAACCATCAAGCCACCACTGCCCTAATCATTGGACAATAATAAATTTGGCCCGTCTTTATAAATTATGGCCCTTAACGATGTATCCTCTCTCTCTTTTCTCTTGCTTTCGATCTTCAGGGATAAGATGTTTCCTGCTCTGGGTTTCGGAGCCAAGCTTCCCCCTGACTGGAAGGTACCCTTCAGTTTATTTTCTCCACAAAATATGAAAAATTCAGAAGCCGCACGCTGGTGCAGCAATTGTACTCGGAAAGTTGGGCGGCTGAGTGTCGAAGGAGTTAAAACGTAATGAGGCAAGGTGCAGCGTATGTTGATATGTGACTAATTCACCTAATTAGATGTCTGGCTCTCCTGCTAAATTAATCCCATAACATTTACATGTTAGTAATAGGGTAGAGTGTCACTCATTGTCCATAAGTTGCATTCGAGTGCGAGAATGCCTTGGGGATTATGTGACACAGGCGCAGATGATTGGATGTTGTACTGAAGCAAGGCACATGAGGGTTGAGGCTGATTGGACACTGTCCCCCCCCCCCCCCCCCCCCACCAAAATATACACATAATCTCATAATTATGCAACCAATTCATGGTTATACACGGGTTGCTATGGCACTGTGCTGTAGAGAGAGATGGAAAGAAGGGCACAGGCAGGAGAGGGAAGGATGGGATGTGAGCCAGCATGCAGTGGTTGGAGGTAACTTACCCTTCTGAAGGCACCTGTGTCTGATACACGCGTGCATGTATGCATATCTGGACCCGTAAAGAGCATGACGTAGCTGTGGTGTTAGTTCAAGCCAGGCAAGCAGAGGATGGTAGAAACAGAGGGGTGACATAATGACATTGGGAGAGTGCAGGAGTCGTGATGTCTTAATAATCTCCCCCACATTAACATGCTCATCACCATGGAAACATGCTCTGGTGTCACTTTCTGCCACCCGCTTGCCCCTACAGGTGTCACATGAGTTTGCTATCAACTTCGACCCCACCAACCCCTTCTGCTCGGGTGAGTAACCATGCGGCCATTGAGCCACCTTTATAAATTGGGAATTGGGAGCTCGATCTCTGTTCCTGTACGAATGCTACATACCGTTCCGGATGCTCATGAGGGGAAAAGAGATTCTCAAAGGGAATTACAGGAATCACAGTGAAGAACCCAAAATGGTAGCACTAGGCATAAAAAGTCATCTTTTCTACATCTAATTTTAAATTTTACATGAAATGACAGCCAAAAGCTTTCTGGACAGTTGGGATATGTCTAAAGCTCAGAGTCCGGTGTACCCTGTCTTCTGTGCCCCCGGCAGGCGTGGAAGGGATCGTCCAGGCCTACTCCGCCTGCCTGCCGCACCTCCGCTTCTACGGCCCCACCAATTTCTCGCCCATCATAAACCACGTGGCGCGCTTTGCCTCTCAGGCCATCCAGCAGGAGACAGCGGCGGTGAGTGGGGGAAGGGTGGGGGGCGTACCCTCAGGAGGGTCCCTGCGAAGGGTGGGTGGAGTACCCCTGGTCAGAAGCTTAGAAGGGTGGTCTACGAGAGGGAAAGGACAGGGCAAGAAAAAGTAGTGTAAACCCAAGGTGTTTCTTAATTCTTGTAAATATGATAAAGATGACCCAGTATAAAACCAGGCTGGGGTTAGTTCTGATAAATATAATGAAGATGAACCAGTATAAAACCAGACTGCTGTTGGTTCTGATAAAAGTAACAAAGGTGATCCCAGGCTGGTGTTGGTTCTGATAAATATAATGAAGATGAACCAGTATAAAACCAGACTGCTGTTGTTTCTGATACAAGTAACAAAGGTGATGCCAGGCTGGTGTTGGTTCTGATAAAAATAACAAAGGTGATCCCAAGCAGGTGTTAGTTCTGATAAATATGATGAAGGTGAGCTAGTGTAAACCCAGCATGGTGTTGGTTCTGGTAAATATGATAAAGGTGAGCCAGTGTAAACCTGTACTGGTGTTGGTTCTGATACATATGATAAAGGTGAGCCAGTGTAAACCCAGAATGGTGTTGGTTCTGATACATATGATAAAGGTGAGCCAGTGTAAACCCGGGCTGGTGTTGGTTCTAATAAATATGATGAAGGTTAGCCAGTGTAAACCCAGGCTGGTGTTGGTTCTGATTAATATGATGAATGTGAACCAGTGTAAACCTGGGCTGGTGTTGGTTCTAATAAATATGATGAAGGTTAGCCAGTGTAAACCCGGGCTGGTGTTGGTTCTGATTAATATGATGAATGTGAACCAGTGTAAACCTGGGCTGGTGTTGGTTCTAATAAATATGTTGAAGGTGAGCCAGTGTAAACCGAGGCTGACAGGTTAGTTATAACCAGATGACTTTCCTTTTTATTTGTCTCTGCCTGGGGTGGATCTTTCCAGAACTACTCAGATGCATAATTCATGTTCTATACCTGTAGGATAGAGAGCGGATGTAAAAATAACTGCCATATGAGGACAACATGCAATGTATTCACTTGCCCTCCAGGTTTTGTTGGCATGCAAAATCAATTACATTTGTCTACAGATCTGAACGTCCCCTTGGAACAAACAAACAACGGCAGGTTCCAGTTATCTAATTAGCCCCGTGGTCTGTGATAAACCTTCAGAAGGCTGGCCTTATTCTGTCACTCCATCACAAGCGACAGAATACATGTTGCATTTAATGAATCATCGTTATACCTACTGGAACAGAAGGAAGTGTCTGTCCTCCATTGACAGAGAAGGAAGACAGAAAATGTTGGCAATATTGGACGGTTTCCTGCACCAGCTCAGGTGGTCGAAACCTGAGATACTTAAAGCCAGCTTCTTCTATTCATGTTATAACCATGGGAACCCTGTGGTCTCTCTCCGGGACCAATATGTTTTCAATCCACTCAGTGTTTTTGTGACTGGTGTCTGCCCTGGCTTGGGCTCTTGGGTTAATGCTAGCTGTCATTTTTTCCTTGGCCCCCAGCTACAGCTGGGAGGTCCCTCTACCCACTGGTCTTAAATCCAGGAGGAACACAAGATGTTGACCTTAAAAAGGGTCCTCAGAGCTCTGCGGTCGGAGGCTGAGCTGAAGGCTTGTGGTTCTCAACTGGTTCAGTCTCACCTACAGGTATATTTTAAAATAAGGTAGTAATTGGAGGATTGCAGTGTTGCAGTTTGTATGTGTGATTTCAGCATCTTATGAGAATATCACGACGAAGCATCATGATGGGATTCAGTATCACACCATCTTATCAGCATTTATTAAGAAAATGGAGAAGCATGAAACCTTTTTTTGCTTATTATCTCTTGTGTTGTAATGGTGGTTAGAGGTTACAGATCATTAGCTGCAGCAAAACGACTCTCAGTGGTAAGTCCTGTAAAAGAGTGTGTGTGTGATTGTATTAATATGCAGGCCCAATTCAGTCACGCGGAATGTGGGTAAGTACAAAGTAGGTTTAGCTTTCCTTGTAATATTCCACATAGAATTTATTTCCTTTTCCGAATATAGCTATTTAGTGAGCGGAATTCGGTTAACAAGAAATATTTTTCCCATTGGTGGTTCTGGCCTGAAAGAGAATCAACAGAACAGTATATAGTTGTGTCCGCCATGACGCCCAAATGTGAGAAACGTCAAAGTCAGTCCAACGTCAAAGTTAGGTGACAAAGTGGAAGGGAAAGTCAAGCGTTGTCACAGTACTGATAACTACTGGCAGTGTGAGGGGACGTCAAAGTAAAGGGGAGGAAAGAAGTGACACCCTCGGGGATTGTCACAGGATGGGACAGGGCCAGGAATTCTGCTTTTAATTTCGTCAGAGAAGGCTGTAATGAGACAGTAATGACAGATTTCTGGGAAGATTTCTGTGTTTCTGCGGGAAACTAGGAAATGGACACAGGTCTAGTGGCACAGTGGCAATAATTCTGCAGCCCCATCCAGCGCGTCGAATGTAATTATTTAGTCGATTAGCAGGTGAATAATTAGGTATAATAACTATTAAACCGTGAGTTATGAGGAATGATGGACAGATATCGGCATTCGGCATACCAGGGGGGTCATCAGCAAGGGCCTGGTGGCAGTGTAGATAATAAACTATTAAATAGTCACAGTGATGAGATAATTCTTATTGTTTATACATCCTCCCCTCTGAAGGTTGGGAACAAAGACCATTTTGTCCTTAATTGCTCCCTGTCACTTTTCGACGTTGCTGTGTGTGTGTGTGTGTGTGTGTGAGTGTGTATAATCTCTGAGTGTGTGTCAATGCCTTGGTTACATAATCCATGCGCCCTTCTTATGCTCTTACGCAGAGTGATGTGCTGAGACTGACTATGCAGCTAAACTCTATGGGCCATAGAAGCGTTCTTTTTAAGATCGCATCGTGCAGCCCGCTGCCTCAGTGCCCAGTGTAGGCAGAAGACAGACTAAAACAACCAAAAATGAATATTCAAGATTCAAGATTCAAAGAACTTTATTAATTCCAAAGGGAAATTGCTTTGTCTTGGTTATACAGTTGCTCTGATTAATTTACTGGGAAGAAAGGAAAAAAAAGAAAATAGTTTAGGAAAAAGTATTAGAATGGAAAAATATAGATATAAAAATTTAAAGAAAAATACCAATAAATAGAAGTAAAATATAATAAAATTTAATTAAATATAATTAAATATAGCACACATGTTTAGTAATGCACTAGAAATGCCGTGTAGGTAAGGAGAAATATTGCACAAATGTACTAGTCAGATATTGCACTTGGAACATTAGTTGAGAACAGTAGTGTTGTAAAATATTATTGAGCAGGAACTACTCATAGTTCAAGTCCCGTACTGACAACATTACAGAGAAGAGTTATATATTTTAATGGCCATTGGGAGAAAAGATCTCCTTTGGCGCTCTGTAGAACACCTGGTCATAATCAGTCTCTGGCTGATTTGGATATGATTTGGATGTTATTATGACACAGTAATGCTCTAGCTGTCCACAACGTGTTCAGATGCAGGCAGCAGGCACTGTGGGTAAGGTCAGCTCCGGGGGGGAGGGGTCAGTTGATGTACGCCAGCACGTGTTGGTCCCATCACCCCTCGGTTCTGCACCCGGCCAGGAGACAATGGACCCAGCGGACCACACTCTCCCACTGGCGTTCAGGCGTCGGAACCCAGCCGGCGAGTCATGTCTGGAACTGTCTGGGTCGCTGTGTGGCAAAGCAGGTTGGGTCGGTGGTTCGAATCCCAGGATCAACAGAGTGATTTCGCTGCCGGGCCTCTAAGCAAGACCCTTAACCCCAGTTACTCCAGGACTGTCTCAGAAAAACAATAATGTATGTCGCTTTGGGTAAAAGCATCTTCAAAATAATTAAAATGTAAATGTCTTGACAAGACTTAGACGAGGGAAGGAACAGTTACAGTGAGGGACGCTCGGTGGTGTGTGAGTGTGTCTGTCACACTTATGGTCACATGACACTCCACGTGTCGACCTTCCTTCCACTGCCATGCCTTGCTCACTGGTGGTTTGACTGTCAGCTGACAGTCAAGTGGAAAGACTGAAAATTCCAAGTTGCAGGAGCTCATGGAGACCCTGTGTGTCCCCCACAATGTGGTAAAAACCTGTTATTTTTATGTTGTGGGGACCATTCTTCAGGTCCCCACAAAGATCTGTGTATGGAAGCAAAAAAACAAAAAATGGCAAAAGTTTTCTTTGGTTACTTATTGTATGGATAAGGTTAGGGCTGGGTAGGGGTTAAGGTTGTCATGTTGGGATTAGAGTTACCCCATAGAAATGAATGGAGAGTCCCCACAAAGATATAATTGTGGTGTCCCGGTGGCCTGTGTTCAGGCTCCGCCTCCCGCGAATGCCGAGTGTGTGCTGTCACGCTCACATGGGTGTGACTGCTGCTGCAGCCTCGTTAACAAGTTTCCTTATAAGTGAACTTATTAGCTCATTAAAGAGGCAGACATCTGAGGACATGCAGCGGAGGGGGTATGGAATGCTAGCAGGTGGTCCACAGAATCAGGGTTGGGGGGGGCAGGGGTGCATTAATGCACAGGTTTACCTGGGCTGAAGTCCAGGGGCCTCTGCTGAAAAGGGGCCTCAAAACAGGGGGCTCTCACAACTCAAATTACCCAGGGGGGGGGAGGGGGGGGCAAGAGCTTGGGAAGTGGGAAAGGGAGATGGAGTGGACTGGGACAAGGAAGGGTAGGGGGAGGAGTTAATGGAGCTGACTGACGGCCGGGCTGCCTGGCAGGAGAACGGGCAGCATAGCAGTGAAGGACGTGGCAGTGTGACCCAAATGAAGGGCACCGATGCTGATCCCTTTAGCCTGTGCTTAGCCTGTGCTTAGCCTGTGCTGGTACAACATCCAGCTATTTAAATGGGCAGAACATGCAACATGAGAATCAGCAGAACATAAGCGGTGAAATAAGAAAATGTGTCAGGCTTTTATTTGATTCATTATGTCAGTGTTCGGCGCTTCTCTGTACATAAACGCATTTCTCACTCATGGATAAATGACTTCACCTTTGCTAAAGTGATTTAAAGTGATTTTTCTCCTTAACGGTAGAAAGCATTAGCATAGGAATTTGTTCTGCCGTTTGAATGTGGACCGCAGGGACTGTAAGAATCACTGGATCTTTCTTTTTAAAGATAGCAAACAAAACACTTATATTTACATGACTTCTTACATATCAGTATTTGGCTCGCACAGAGGCTGGTGAGGTCCAGTGTAATTATGGGAGAAGAGGTTGGTCAATGTATCACAGAAAAGATTCAGAGGATGCCAGCAGAGGCTGCACTGCCCTCACAGACACATGTGAGCAGATGTAGTCGCATGTGTGACATGGTAAAGGTCAATAACCTCTGCCTATTCTACAGTCAGTACATTTACAGTGTTGGTTTTCCACTGGCGTAAAAACTAGTTTTTGTTTCATAAATATAAATAATATATTTATTATAACAAAATCACAGTGTAATATCTAAAAAATACTGTGGTGTCATAGTATATTATACAAAATACTTTTGTATCTGTTTTTCTGACCAGAGTGCAGTTGAACTTTGTGTCACTTCATTTGTCCACGCATCTATTCTTATTAATTTTATAAATTTTTATGCCTGTGACGTAATAGGTCAACCGGAAAAAGCCCAATACTAACAAGCTGAAAGGAGCCATATCACCACCTATTGTAGCAGAGTCAGACGTACTTCGGTCAATAAATCAATTCCCATCCCATACATGTATACTGAGAGAAGGACAGCAGTCTGATTAAATGGTGTAATCAAGCTATAACTGCTATAACTGTAGCTCGACTTAGCTGTGCATGTAAACATATTGAGTGACTCTTTAACCACCATCATTTGCAAGTTCCTATTGGCCAGGGTCTGTCCAATTGGCTCCCTCCTAGCTCTGCTTCTCAGATGCCAGCAGGATGAGGGCGGCCTGCTGCTGTCGCTTCTTCAGTTTGGGGTCTGTTAGTGCTCAGGTGTGTCTTTTGATCAAGTTGTTTAATACTAACAAAGGACAATAAGACAATTACCATTTTCCATAATTGGTATAATTTTGATACGTTGCTTTTTCCCAGTTGCTGGTAAACAGGGCTGTTCCTCATGATTAAAAGGATTTAAATTATCATATGAGTGCTTGTATGCTTTAATATGGGCTTTTCCACATTTAGAGTAGGGTTTTTTGCTCTCTACCATGACTTTTCAGGGTATCTTGCCCCCTTCTCAGCTACTAAGTGAATCTTTCTCTCATCTCTCCAGTGATAAACAGACTCCGTTAGGGACCCGAGGGCTATCCCTCAGATGGATGAGCGGTTCC